ACGAAAATCAGAAAAAAGTGATCTTTTTGAGTGGCTTTTATTTTGTGAAGTACGGTATTTTATTTGCGTGGCGTGCGTCGTCTGCCCTTAAAAGTCATTGAAAAATTTAAGATTTAATGAGTGAGTGCTGGATCACCCCTCTTTAGACAACATCCAGTCCTAGAATATAATGTAGGGGATGCATATTACCTTCGAATTCAAGGCAACGAGCACCGCTCTTTATATTGAACTGACCCTGTCATCACTTTGAGATATGTGTAATCGTGGAAGCTACCGACGCATCTTCAGCGTTCTTAAAATTTTCTTACAAGCAATGCACTATGCGACGCACCAAGAATGATCTTAACACCATCAATAATGGCGCTCACTGCAGTGCTGGTCCACCCCAACATCAACGCACCAATGGTATTTCTGGTTTTCTTTGCGACGTAATTCAATCATGGTGATGTGGTCGGGGCTGTCGCGCTTGTAATGAGTCAAACAATTTTCGCCTGACTCAGCGATGCTTGATGAAGTCGTTAAATGGAATTTGGGTGGAGGCTACCGGACGGCTGCTGGGCGCTACATACGATCACTTAATCAGTATATAAGCGCTAGGAAGAAACGGTTCGGAGATTCTTATACTATTACACGAGGCCAGGAGATTCACGAGCCAATGCCCAAAAAACTTGTTTTCAAAGACGACTAAGCCAATGCCTGCGGTTAGTTACCGCTGCAGTTCGCTGAGTTGCCCATGACATCTTCAGTGACAAAACTGTTCCTGCTTTCCTGCGTTCGCGCTCGATAACTGCCGTCCACCGCATCTCTTTTTTTACCTCTTCGCACCTGCTGCTAACTGTAGCTGGTTGAGAGACCGTAAAAACATCCATCTAAGGGGTTTACAACCTGCGATGTTTTAACTTAGAGGACTGCTTAGAGGACTGTAGTCGTTTTGCGCCGTGTATCGATGTACACCCAGTGCTTCACGGCTTACAGTAAAGACTCTCTTTACTTTTCGTTGGAAAGACCTTAGAGTATAATTTCTTATTGCATACAGTCACCTGCGCGGACAACACTAACTCTGTGCGACTGAAGTTACTGTTGTGCCACGCCCCATTACTCGCGGCTCTGGGGTTCCCCGTCAGCTAACGACGAACCCATTGCTCGAAGTGAGTGAGTCTGGACTTGCTCTCTGTAATTTTGATGCTTTGCGTTTTTAGTTCAGGAGAGCTACATTGCATGTGGATTCCTTGTCCCCACGCAATTAAGCGTAAGCACCTAGCTGAAGTGCTCGATGAACTGTCAAAAGACGACTAACCACAACTGTGGAAAGACGCTCGTCAATCTCGTCTCCTTCAATATTTTAAGCTGATCTCGAATACGGAAACCATTTCATGTCCATAGCGTATGACACTGCCTCCAAGCTCAGCTTGCTTAAGCTCGTCGCGTTTGGCTCACAGATCTGGATCGCATACTTCTCGAAGGACGTTTCTCGTTACTACGTTGATCTAGTCCGTCTTCCTGATCACTGCCGAAGGCACAGCCCGCGCTACTGACCTTTTCAAGTCTGATTACTACAACCCAATATGGTTTGAATTGAAGACTTGGATTCAGCCACGTCTCAATGGCAATATGACCTCGAAGTTCGCCGCAGTGCAGATGACAAACATGTTTTGAATGTACCTCTACAGCCATTTCTACAAAAGCCTACGTTTCCGTAATCACCCCGGTAACGATTCACTACGACGTTAAGCACATGACTCGTTTTGAACTCTTCCAGTATGTGTCCTCATTCCTTAACAGTTTGAATGTTCGCCCTCCACTTGACAACTGGCTATGATCGAGGCTAATTCGGGAATTATGCTTCCGGCTATTGCATCTAGTGACCGTCACACCCTATCCCGCGTTGTCTACCGTATTTTAGTCTATGCTCGCCTCACTACAAGTGCTGCCTATAATAAGAGCCTTAAATTTCTACACGCTATGAGTAAGGCAAAGACACATCTTGGGTCATGTGGAGCCAATCTCACCTCGATCCAAGAAGTATCTTTTGGTGTTTTCTAGCTGGGTTCTGGCTCTTCATGTAATGACATCCACAGCCTATCATGTCCCACTCAAGCTACGTTCTCATGGATGCTGCCCCCGACTTTCTCGTTGTCTTGACAATCCCGTACATTCCAATAACACTCTTTGGGCTGCCAGGTTTTAGTTCATTCGCAAAAGATCTCCTGTAGCATGACAGTGTTCTCGACTTTCTGGAAGCTTTCGTTCAAGCTGTCCAAGCATTAGATTCTGATGACGAAGGGTCTCTAGTTCCTCACCTTCACTTCTAGGCTCGAGGCATGGACCTTCAAGGCGGTCTCACCTAACGTAAATGGGCTAAACAACCCCTGCCATCATTTCTATCACGATTTTTCTCACGTTAACAAGTGGTGGGTTGACAGGAAACCAACCTTTCAAGCCGACAAATACTCCAAGACAATGATAATTTCCTACATGCCTCGCATTTTCATTCTGGTCCCATGCTTCTTCAGAGTGGTCCGACTTCCGCAATGGAGTTAAACTACTCTTTAACGACGCACACCCATTTCAACACCTTCAAGGCGAGTCTTTACTTTTTGCAATACTGAAGTATTGTACAATCGTAAGTGGTTGTCAATACCTACCTAGGATATCTTGGCGCCTCCTTTCATGTGGTGTATGGACAGTTCATCTCAAAAATTGTGCAGCTTTCATCTCGGCCCTACCACGCCACTTTGACGATCCCTGGGGTCCGCAAAGGAATGGATGATCTCAACATTACCATAGACGCCGATTTTGACCAAGCATCGCCCACTCATCATAACGCCGGCTGAGCTAAGTTCTTTGACTGGATGATCAGCCTCGGGATAGCCGATTTCTGGCGCCTTGAAAACCCGGATAAGTGCGGATTCACGGGTCGAAACTCCAAGAATTGTATCGACTACTGCCTCGCTTCTATTGACTTGTACGACTAGTTTATTCGTTCGCTGACCATTTTTTTGAACAAGTCATTTGGCAATGCAGATCACACTCCAGTCGATTCTACTGCTTCATCTGATTCCATACCGACGGTAAAGTCGTGACCTCCAAATGCCCGCCTTCTTTACTTCGTTGCGAATGAATACAAGATCAAATTCTCAGTAACCTCAACCGTTTGGCTGGCACACTAGAACTAAACAGTAACCCGGGATTCTTGTCAGACGAACACAAACGAAGATCGTATCTTCATACGTCGGGAATATATGCGGCGGAATGATGCTACAGATATTCAGCTTCGGCTTCTACTCGTGATTGTGAAGAACTCATTGCGACATCCCCCCGAGTGATTACAATCGACTTCAAATAGACACCTCTCGACAAGCCTGTTTGGATTTCTTTACTGCATTTCGTGAACAAAACACTGTTTGAAAATTTTGATTTGGTACCACTTCAGGGGAAAACTTCTCCAATCATTTTTTCTGGGCTCCTACTGCGACGGAGCTAAAGCTATCGATTTTGTCAGTCGATACGCCTTTGGAATTGTCAAAGGACCCCGCTACCATCCTGTCGACCCACCGTCGATATTGGATCACGATCTTCCAATTGGATGCTTGTTTCTCTTTTTAGACCTCCAGATCGAACCTCAGCACTTCGACTCTACCAAACTTCAAGATATCCTCGGACACAGCCATCGGAAGCTCAAATTTGTCCAAGCCGATATGCTCGATGCGCCACTTGCAGCCAACGATTTTATTTTGCTGTACAGCATACCGTCCGCGGAAAGTCATCGTGTCCTGATGGACTACCAGCAGAATACTATCAGCTTTTTCCCGCTCAATAGGCTCATATTTTGGAGTTGATTTATGCCGCTCAATTCTGATAGGGTCGCATGACTAGGGTTCAACGCCGTGCCTTTATCTCCTTCTTTTTATAGAAAGGCTCACACTCGTACCCCAAGAAGTACCGACCCTTGACTTTGCTGAATCAATACAATTATATTCGATCCAAAGGCATAAGCCTATCGCCTGAATCAGGTTCTACTCGGTTTACTGAAACGAAGACCAGTTCGCTTTTGTGCCTGGATGTGACATCCGGCATGCACCTCGCTGTTTCCACAACTTATCTAATCACTGCCGCCACACAAGCTCGGCGATCCAGCCGGAGCTATTTGCCTCGACTTCGCCCAAGCTTTCGATAGTGTCAATTGGCGCGCCTTAGATCAAATTCTTATTCACTGGGGATTCCGATGTAATTTTCTGCATTGGATATTAAGGTACCCTCGTTCAAACATTGATCAATTCCTCACACTTCGACTTCTTCAGCTTAGGTGCCGGCGTGCATTAAGGTAAATCTTTATCCCCCACTTATTTGCGCTCTTTATTGAGCCACTGCTCTGCTATCCACGAGCTACTTGTACTAACACAGCCATCAGAATTCACACCACGTCCCGTCATATCATCAGCTTCGCCGATGACGTTACTAGCTTGGTTATTAACCTTTCAAATACTTTCCTATTCCATGTCGAATTCACGACTTCAGTACTGCGACTGGTATGCGGCTTAATGTAGGTATCACTGTAATTTTTGTTCAGACCGTGAATGTCCGCGGACTTCGAGCCTCAAACCCAAATTCTGGGTTAGGTGTTAGAGTTTTGAAGAATGCGAGCATATTACGCTTCTCGGTATTGCCGTCGGACCTAGCGTAACCCGCATTCCCAGCTAATCCAACTGCTCGTCCGCTTTCAGAAACTCTATGCTACTCGGAGACGGCGTGCACGCACTCTTACGGCTAGAGCGCTAATTTTGAGAATTATAGTTTTGTATACTCTTTGGCATTTCTGGGAACAGCCTCCGTGTCCAAACAAGAGTGCCTCAAGCTCAACCCGCTTATGCAGAATTATTTTCCAAACACTCAAATACTATGTGTGGTCCTGTGACGCGCAGCCACTTTTCAAGCTCATGGCATCCGGTTGACATTCTGGCTGAGGACATGACTTGCCCTCCGTCGCTACCTCGGTGGAGCTACTTCACATATACCTCATATGTCAGATAAATTCATCAAACCCGGAAGGACTACTCGGCTCTGCATATTTGGTTTATCCCCGCTCAAACTGCGATTGACGATGCATTTAATGACTAACGAATCTGGATTTCTTTTTATTTCACTTTCTCACCTGAAATCAACCTCTCGTTGGGTTGCCGATCCCCCATATCGGAGGGCTGCTATTGCTACATGGTGCTTCAAAATCATCGTCAATCTCCAATGTTCAAACCCGGTCTTGACCAGCTTTCATGGCCGATCTGAATTAAAGTACTTCTTTGCTTTACAAGAGCCAACCGTGCTTTAGCGCTACGACATAAAAAAAGAAGAGGCGTGCAACTATAAGCCATCAAGGTTTCAAGCAAATTTCAACTTTTTTTCGGCTATACAATTCTCCAATAGTCCCTAACTTACTCTTCTACCTACGCTCCTTGACTTAGTCCAAAAACTTGCTCCAAGACTAAACTTTACGATTTTCTGCTGCCACCTGAAACATCGGTATATGCGCTACATGACTGAATATCAAACGGTCACGACATCGTTTATGGCTGAAACACGGTTATCAAGCGCCCTTTGCTGGATCATGACCACCGCTTCTTCAGCTCTCAACCCCGGACGTGGTCCTCACCTCTTCCCATTGGTTGCTTGAACATTTTCTTCAACGTGACATTCTTCCGTTTTTTTTCGGATTTTTGTCCGAGACTAAAACATAATGGCCTTGCTTCTCGATATAATTCTTATTGGCTCACCGAAAGTACAAATTGTGCTTGTGGTCGTACCAACTTGGAAACTCCGTACCATTTCTTCTGGGAATTATGGCACAACGTTTATGGCGACTATTTCTTTCTCCGTTATCCCGACTATTTAAGTTTACGTTCGATTGGCTCCAAGTTCTCTTCCTTCATAAGGTGACTGTCCCAGAAGCCCAGCAAGTTTTTTGGTTTGCACACGCCTATTGGTCTCGTTAGTGTTGTCCACTTTGTCATTTCGCGAACACTTTGGCTCAACCGCAACAAGGCGATTTTTACGTCCCCCATGTTATAGTTCACGGTAAGGTTTAAGCGATGATTCGCCTCCACTTTCAGCTTCTGTTCAAGAGGTTGACCTATCCATAGAAGCATGATTATGTACGGCTTAAGACTCAGCTTTTAACCTCTAGCGCAGAATAGTATCAAGACTTCGATGACGATTCATTTCATCTTCTCGCAGAGTAACCTTGACATGGCAACTGTACAGTCTTCAGCTTTATTTTTTTAAGCTCGAATTTATCATCGATTTACCGAAGAATCAAGTTGTACCTTCTCTCAAAGTCAATCGCGCGCTTTCCAACTCAGTGAGTGATGTCTGCCGTTTGTACACACCAGTATATCGACAGATCCAGTTGCGCCTTCAAGCGTGTCAACAATGCGCTCTCCCAAACACCGCGTGTTTCTGCCACAGGCTACTCAAGATGTTAGTGATCTCCCATAAGCTTTATTCTTTTGAAAACCACACAAATTAGTATTAACCCACACATTACTCTGATATTTCGGTATTCAGAATATTCAAAAACGAAAGTGCATTGTAATAATTGTTGGAAGTACATTTAGTAACCACACCAAATAGGGTTGAAAATTTTGCTAGAAACGCCGAGCCCTGTAGAAACGTGCTGTTGGTTGTAGCAAGCGTTTCATTAATGTTTGAAGGGATTGTACTGCTGGTGATTACGCAGCTTGTTCCTTTCTGATACTTACAAACCGAGCTCTTTAAATCTGCAATTAATGAACATAAGTCTGCCTTTAGAGGAGTCAATGCAAAATCAATTTGGACTTCGTACCTCATTTGTTGTTGTGCAGATAACTTGGATAGCACTGTTTCGAACAAAGCATCATCATGATAGTACATTAGCGCAGCTTGAAAAGCGCGCAGGTCTAAGTTATACTTGTCGCAAATCTCTTTAGTCTTCTTGCCGGAGGCTTTTACATACTGTTGTGAAAGTTGAATCCGGAAATCTGCATCCGTCAGCTTTTCTTTGCGTAAATCAATAGCAATTCTTTCCATCTCAACCGTTAATGATGGAATCAGCTCTTCCATGACACTTATTACCACCGTGACGTCAATGTTGGGTTTTTCCTCTTTCTGTATTGCGAATAAATCACAAAGGATGTTAGCAACCCAACGATATTTGTCTCATTGAATCGACTCACCCACACCGACTTAGCTCCAGGTATCAGTGATTCGCGCGAGCCCGTAGCCTTCCATCTCAGCCTCCCGAGCTTACGTACAAAATCATCAATAGATTCTGCTTCAGCTACTGAAATTTTGCCATCAGGACCTCCTCCACGCAGCGTTCCTGTGATAAGTTCCTGCATGGCTTCTTGGACCTGCTCCTTGGTCACGTAATTGTTGCGGAAAACAGCATCTTGCACCTTTTCTAGTGTCGATTCAAACTCAATACTCATTTTTAGTGCACGTTGCTCGGGTGATAATTTGAGCTTGCCATTGTTCGCTTTCTTTTCGTCTTCCACGCTCCGCTCAAGGTTCTCCAGCATGCGTGCCACAAAGACGGTCATGTTTTGGTCAATCTGCTCATACAGACGCAGTAGTGCCGAAACATTCTGAATCGGATTGACGTCATATCCACTTTCTTCCTGTTTCTTCTGCTCGCTCTGAGCTTCATTCTTGCTTGATATTGCCAATGCAAAGGCACCACTTACTGCCACTGCTATACTTACACGCTTTGCTTGGCTCGTTAAGGATGTATTTAAACCAGTAAATTTTGTGCTGTGCGTGACTCTTGCACATATATTCGTATCAATGACATTATCACCTCTTAACGGCTGGCTTACTCGCAATATGCGTCGCAACGCAGTTGTCACCTTGCTTACTTTCATTTCCATAGACAAAAGCTGTATACAAATCAAGAATGTGTGTGACGTACACAACATCCGGCGTTATGCGGATGAACCACCCAATGAGATACCAGTCTACCTAAATCAAATATGAGCGAGCTATTGCTACGTACAGAAGCCGTGACAGAGGTAAAGCTACACCCTGTGGTCGTACTTCAGGCTTTAGACAGTTCACTCCGTCGACCTGAGGGACAGGATCGTGTTATTGGCACATTGCTAGGTCATGTCGAGGGAAGTGTAGTGGAGATTACGGGCTCTTTTGCTGTGCCACATCTGGAGAATGGCGACGAGGTGGCAGTCGGCCGCGACTATCACACAAACATGTACGAGTTGCATCAGCGTGTGAATGAAAATGAAGTGGTCGTTGGATGGTATGCTGCTGGTTCAGGCAAATTGGACGACCACTCGGCACTTATTCACCAATTCTATAGCTCAGTTTGTGAGCTACCCGTGCATGTGGTGCTGGACACGAGTTTGCAAAACGATAAGCTCGATGTTTCAGCCTACGTGTCTCCACCGCTTGATAACATGAACACAGCACTCGTTTTGCAGTTCAAACAAATCCCAGTGGTTCAAAAGATGTCTGAGCCTGAAGCCATTGCTTGTACGTCGTGTCATTGACTTTATAAGGTATTGTTTTGCGGTCAAGTAACGTTGTTTGTGCTTTGTAGTAAATGCGATGGCTCCAAAGGAAGCAGAAAACAAAGCTGTGGCACTACCTAACGAGTTGGAAGCATTGGAAGCGACAATGGAGAAACTGTACACATGTATTGACGGTGCCAGCTCGTTCGTAGCCGATGTTGTAGCTGGAAAACAACCAGCAGATGCCAAAATTGGGCGTGAGATTTCTGACGCCCTTGCTGCAATTCCAATGCTCCGCGAAGAACAATTTGACCAGATCTTTAACACAGGACTACAGGACCTGCTTATGGTATCTTACCTGTCTGGCCTCACTCAGGCACAGCTATCGATGGCTGAAAAGCTCATCAATACTTAACTCTTAAACCTTTTAGTCTACTAGATGTAGATTTTAGAAAGCCAACAAAAAATATTGCTGTAGTTCGCCTTCAATCCATTTCTGCATATATGTGGCTGAGTGACTCTTCAAGTGTGCACATTCATTTAAGCAATTCGTATATGCTAGCCGATAACACGTCTCTTAACCAGACAAATGGCTTCTGGATCATCTTCGAATGTGTCATCACCAAATTCGTCGGACATTGATCCCCAGTCTAATGAATCTAAATCGTCATCCGATTCTGAGTCGACAGATTCGGCGACTTCGACAAATCAACAACGCCCGCGTTTGCGACGTCGATGGAGAAATTGTCATCTTCAATCGAATAGCACGAATGCTGTGCTGCCACGTGCCAAACCTGCATCGACTTCCCTCTGGACAACACGTGAGAAGCAATTTGAAAAGTTTCGATCCAGTCTCCTATCGATGCCCGTTCCTGATGGAGTCGGGCGTATTAAGAAGGCGAAAGGCTTTTCATTACACATCATGTCAGCTTTGATTTGGGTGTTACCCGACTCTCTTTTGCAATCGTCGGCAATTCCAGCGACCAGTGATCCAAATGAGAGTGACAACGAAAGTGAAGAACCACTTCTCACTTTGGGCGTCCACGTGAGTTTGTTCCATGCAGAGTCCAAGCGCTTTTTTGGCAATACGTGGGTTAGTCCAGAGCTTGCAGTCGACCCATTTGCGATCAAGCAAATTCGAGAAACTAAAGACGGCACGCTGCGGTATGTCATTGAGAACGTCTCATTAAACTTTCGTGCGTATTTTATTTCAGACATTGTGGACACCAACTGCATTGGTGTACTGGAATTTGTGGCGTATGAGAAGGACCCAGACTCAAAAGCGACTATCCAAGTGGCTGGATGTGGCTGGACGATCCTTCCGCTCTTTTCACGTCAACAAACGCCACAGGAGGGTATCTTAAACGGATCCGCATCTCTTCCTTCCGCCTTTTCCTTAACCACGAGCGGAGACTCGGCCAATGTGTTTATGGGAAGTCCTCGTTTGTTATGGGAGCTCAATTCAGATGCTTGGAGTTCTCAAGACAAATATGACGGGAGCAAGTTATATTACCAGCTCAGCCAGTATGATCCAATGCTAAATGTCGCCACATTTGTAAGAAAAAATGAGCTTGTGAGCGCTCTGGATCCAATCCCAGGCTTGAAAAATGGCAACTTGGCTAATCTAGACGTTGGCAACAAGCCAGAAACACTGCTTCAAGACGATGAAGACGTAAGCTATGAAGACACGTTGGCATCGTTTGTCAGACTGTCGTCGCTTGTGCCCAAGTCGATACAAGTCGAAGAGCCATTTGAATTGAGCGTGGCTGCTACGCGCGTGGTTGTCAATATGCGTGATGAGATTGAAGCAAATTTAGTTGCACGGTTGAGGATCAGTCGCAAGGCTATCTACGAAGGTGCAATGAGTGTGGTAGGCGAAGTGTCTGCTCGTGTACTTAAGTTTGCTCTTCACAATGGACGTTGCTTTCGAACTCGACAATTTACCGTACCGCTCAAGGCTCATCCAAATGGTGGCGACACACTTATGTGTGTTCGCAACCAGTCCAGGTTACGAGGCTTTGTCTTTCATCCAAACATGGCAATCGTGGTTGTACTACAATTCACTGTTCATTTTCGGATCATCTGGCCAGTTAAGCTTAAGCAACAAGCTCTGGAAGCAAACAAACCTCCTCTACCCGAAGAAGATGTCGTTTTGGTGACAATGGGTGCACGAGCACTCGTTCCAAGTGACGGTAAGAAACTGTACTTGTACGACAAGTACCATCTCGCGACAGCAGCGTCTGCAGAACCACTGACAGTACTAGATGGCGTACCACTACAAGCGCAAGCAGAGCAACGTCAGGTTCTCCACGTCGACCTTCTGTCAGGAGCTCCTTGTCGTCCATACTCGGACAATACGTTGTACACTCCACCAGATCAACTGACACGGTCACTTTACAGCCGCGAAGTATCGCTCAAAGACTCATTTGCGTTTTGTGATCTCATGCTTACGCTAGATGAAGATATCACAGTCACCGAGAAACCGAGTGAACATTTAATAACTCCGTCACCACCTTGTGAAGAAGAAAAAGAGAAAATTGAAGACTGTGCTGCTGATCTATGGGCGAAAAAGCTACTGAACAAAGCGAATGACAACCCGTTGCTGGCTCAGACGCTCAACGCGCTAGCTACGTCTCCTCTGAAAGAGAAAATTTCAGCTGCGAAACCTCCATCCCCATCAAAGAAACATAGCACACAACTTGCGGTTTCCACGACTCAAATTCCGGATGTCCCGATAACGGAGCTTAGCCGTGCATCCAAGACGCTATTGAGCCGGTACGGCTACATGGAGTCTCACGACAAGCCACTAGACTCTCCACCTAACAATCAAACGGCACACGATGAAAGTAAAGGCCGACAAAATTCTGATCGCATGGCTAAGTCCATCGAAACTGAGGTGAACGATCTATTCAAGGCCAACGAGATCCGTTTTCATTTTGCAGCTTTTAAAGCAAATAGTCGTGAAACTCAAAAGAATGTTTATAACCCAGCACCCTCGCGAGTGTATTTTACCTTTCAATTCTACCATTTTCCTCCGACGCGCTCAGAAACGTTGCGTTTGAGCAAAGCCTTTGACAATGGAGCTTGTAAGGATATCCAAACGTTTCTTCTTATGCGTGATAAGATGGTCAATAAACCAGCACTAGCGATCCAATTTGATGTCGACACAACTGCAAGTATGAATCCTCTCGAGACGCGTCACTTTGCTGAATACTTGAAATGGCACAATCTATACGTCGACGTGTGGGATGCGGACAGTCTTTTTCAACTTGGTACAATTATCATACCTCTGCATGAACTGCTTCGACAAGGAACTAAAGTCAAGAAATTTCAAGCTGAAGTCGAAATCTTGCCACCACTGGAAGCCACGACCAGATGTCGAGATGTCTTTACTTTTCCTGACACAACGAATAGAGCGGATAAATTCGAAATCGGAAGGATCCAACTCCTCATGAGCTGCTATGGAGTAAAAGGAGAGCATTTAATTGATCAACAGGCAACATATGCAGATCAAGATACGACAGTACAGACTCACAACCCACAACCACAAAAAGCCAAGAATTGCGTTTGCGCTCGTCCACTGGTCGAAACAAACGCTGAGCTCCATCGCCGATTGTCTGAAAATGGTTTTTATAATGAGAATACGGAGAACGTTCAGACATTGCAGCGTCGGTCGCGTCCAATGTGTCTCAAGAAATCGACGCTGACACCAAAAGAAATTGACATTCTATGCAATCTGTTTGGATCTCGTAATGCTGAAAGAAACTCAACTACATCCCACTCGACGCGAATCAAGTGCGATTTCAAGAATAAAACGGGATTACTAGCTCTGTTGTCGATGCGACCACCCGATATCAAGTCCAACCGAGCTAATGAAGCGGCAATTTCTGTCAATAAGCATCACACAGCCGTACAGGTAGAAAAAACGACTAATGTTGATGATTGTAGCAATGAAAACCGTTTAAATTACATAGTGAATCTAGCAGCGCAACACCAAAGCGCCTTAGCTCATGCGTTTGCAGGTATGGACATTAATCATGACGAATATTTAACTCCAGACGAGTTTTTTAGAGCAATACAATCCCTGGGTTCGGCGTTAGGGGATCTTTCCGAAAAAGACGTCAAGCTTCTGTTTGATTTACTGGATTCGAACCAAGATGGCAAGATTGCGTATCGTGAGCTGAAACAGTTTGTAAAGGAGCCAATTTATTTGTCAAGAACAAAGTGGCACGATCAGATCAAAACGATTCTCGAACGTGCAAAGGATAGAGGTATTTCTGTTTATGATGTGTTTGCTGAGCTGGACGTCTTGAAAGATGGAAAGCTCTCGTTTGATGCATTTGATCGTGGACTTAAGCAGTTAGACGATTCGTCACGTATTAACAGTGAAATTGTGCAGAGTTTCCTTATGGAATCGAAACAACATCACGAAGGCACTATTTCATACATCGAATTTTTAGAATCTTTTGGAATATCTAGCGATGCAAATAAAGAAGAACTCGCGAACGAAACATTCAAAGAAATGACTGAAAGTATACGTGGGATAGTCAATCGGTTAGATAAGCAAGGAATTGAGTTTCGAGAAGCTTTTGCACATTTTGATACGGATCGGAACGGTACTTTGTCAATTGACGAGTTTTCAAAGGCATTATCTCGACTCATACAAATTGATGGGAGCACGAAAGACACATTGAAAGCAACTGAGCAAGATCTACTGACAAAATTTATGAAAACAGTTAAGACTGACGGAGATGGAAAGATTAATTACCATGAGTTTTTGACGGCATACGGCGTCACAGCTATGGACACGCAACACGAGACAGCTCAGAGTACACAAGCAGCCCGCCTTGAAGCAGAGAGGAAGCTTATCAAGCTGATTGGTCGAGCCATGGATCGTGGGATGACTTTGAAGCAAGTATTCGATCAGCTCGACGCGATTCCAGACGGTGGGATCTCTGTATTCGACTTTCAGCAAAATCTAGAAAAGTTGCTATTAGCACAAGAAATGAGCCTTGATGACGCTCAACTTATCACTGATCGCTTTAATGTGATAGAAGACGGAATATTTTCTCGAGAAGAATTTCAGGAGTTCGGTGCTGAAATAAGTAAGAAACAGCAGACTCTGGCTACATACTTTGCTCCTCACTTGGAGAAATTATCGAGTCTTTCTTCAAAAGTAGCAAACGATTGTTGGACATCGGTATGTCAAGCAGAAATGAACATATCATTGCTAGAAATGGAGACTAAAGTGTGGCCATTGATGTCGTACTTCGACTTTGTAAGCGAAGATGGCAGCGTCAATGCTCACGAGTTGCGAAAGTGGTGTTCATCAGTCGAGTGTGCATCGTTAAGAAAATCAACAGACAGCTATGCCGCTACAGAGCGATTCAAGCAGCTACTACTGACTGCACAAAGTCAAGGGGTAGATTTGCAAGCGAGTTTTGCGCACTTTAATGAGGATCAAGACGGCAAATTAACGCGATTTGAATTCAAAAGAGGGTTAAAAGTTCTTGAATCGTTCCAAGACATGAGTGAAGCTGAGTTTGACGCATTGTGGAATGGACTGGACAAAGATAACAGCGGAACGATTGACGTGGAAAAGTTTAGGACCCTTCTGACGGAGTTGAATAGTGTAGCAGAACATTTACATAGCGATAATGAGACTGAGCCATATCTGCCTCCGGTTATCATTTCCTACCAACAGAGCACCATGGAGAAGCTGCGAAAGCTGCTACTCCACGCTGAAGCTAATGGAATTGAGTTGACAAATTATTTCGCCCACTTTGATACCAACAAGAACGGAGTAATGACAACACAAGAGTTTGGTAAGACTATTAAACAGCTTCCCGGTTTTGACGACATTTCTGATGAAGAGATCTCAACATTTGCTAAAATTCTTGATAAGGACGATAGCGGAAGTGTATCGCGTGAGAAGTTTGATGCCTTTTTGAGAGATTCGACGCGATCTCTTATCGATGGTGTCGAGGTCTATGATGAAGATCCCAAATTTTCTATCGCGGCTTCTAATGATGCTTCGGAAAGTAAAGATCTTGAATTATCGGCGTGTGCAGATGAGATGGGTCATCCTAGCGATTCGATAAATAAGGATGCTGTCAAGACGGAACAAGAGCACGAAGAAGCTTTTAAATCTGAACAGTCTCTTTGTCAGATCTTAGAAATAAGATCTGAAGGAAATAGAAACCCATTAGAAGAAAAGGTCGATATCTCCGAAGATAAAAGCGTCTTTGGTGGAGCAGAAAGGATTGGGACGAGTATTCCACTCACCGAACAAGTAATATTACCTCGCTCGTTATCTGAAAAATCTCCTGATGGTCCACCGCCGCAAACGGAAACCAAAACGGATGATACTTCACAAGTCAATTTTAAATTGACAAAAGAGGCAACGAAAGGTCTGTCACAATTTAAGAAACTACTCCAAACAGCATTTCAAAAGGAAGTCACTGTGCAACAATCTTTCAGTCATTTCGACAAGAAAGCTGATGACTTCGTGTCGTACAACGACTTTAAAACAGGACTACGCGAGCTAGGTTCTGACTTTGTTAATCTCTCGGATAATGACATTCTTTTGATGGCCAAAACGTTAGACAGCAAGCAACGGAACGGACTTTGTGTGGAAGACCTGATGACTTTTTTTGAAATTCCAGACACAAGCGAACATTTTAAAAACAATGCCAAATCTACCATCGCTGAAAATGAAGCAACATTTACTTTTAACGCCAGCGAAGTGCCAATTCAGACGCCACGAAATCGTTTTCCAGACGTTGAGACTTCCAAATCATCAACAGACTCGAGTACAATCGTACAAGAGAACACTCAAAGAGTTGATATACCAACCGTCAGAGCTACACCGAGAACTGAGGTATCAGCTGCAGACAATCTTGCGTGCAATTATCCTTTTCACAGTGATCCTGAAATACGAGCTGTTGAGTTGAAGGTTCGTCAAATTGCTGTGAAAGCTTATCAACGTGGAACTTTGCCGCTCCGAGTTGTAACAAGATTTCTAGAAGATGCCGACGATCATCGTGGTCGAATTCCTGGCGATAATGGACGAGAAAAATCTCGTCAAAAGCGCACCGAATTGCGTCGAGTGGAATTTCTTCAAGTCTTAATGGAGCTTGGATTTACATTGCTCTCGGATCAAGACAAAGAAGACGACCCCCATTATGAACCCAAAATGAACGATCATCTCTACGCACGGCAAATTGAAAGACTAGCACGGTACCGACAACAAATGAAGAGCAACCAGGATAAAGAGCATAAACAGTTGGTTCGAGCTATCACCAAGACAACAAAACAGCATTATTACGACAACCAAGAAGCTGAAGACAGTCTTCGTCGATTTGAAGACAAAAAGACAAAGTTGTTACATATCTTGTCGTATTACCGCGAAGGTCAAAAGAAATCGCTAGTTCATTCACTTCTTCGTCAACAAGTCACAACGTCCTTAACGTTATTCCCATCGTTCGGCGATCTCTTGTTTTTTGAACTTTCGTTACGAAATCCATATAATCACAACGATCGCTTTAAAGTCGAAATTCTGCTTCCTTCATCTCGAGACCCTGCAGTCATCTTGGACCTTGACATCGTACGAAATAGTGACGAATGGACATTTTATCGTGAGAATCTACCACTTGCTTTTGGTGTTATGGACTCAAGTGCTCATATCGAAGACGAAATGATTGATGACCAGAATGAAGTAGTTCTCGAACCTAACGATCATCTTCAAATTCCAATGCGTCTTCGATGGCTTGATATGACAGATCGAATTAGGAAACAAGGAGCCACAGTTCCCATTTCAATTGTCATTAAAAGCTGTTCACTTGGTCAAACAGTTGCCCTCTTTAATATTCAATTACACCCGCAACCATTTACGTGTCATCGTGTCCTGCGCTTTTCTCAACCTGCATCATCTATATGGCGCTGGAAATTGAAATATCCACGTGATAAATTTATTGTGTGTATGGATCCAAGTGTTGCTATGGAAGAACTACGTGGTGGACAAGAAGATTTGTTTAATCATGGCATTATGAGCTTCAAATGTCGCGTTGGGGACTATCCTGCACTAGAAACGTTCTTTATTGTACTATACGACGACAAGTATCATGCTCGGACGTATGAAGTATGGCAGGTTCAAATTCAATCGAAATTACGAGTAGATGTACATGCAATTTTCGGACAAAGTGTGCAGCATGAACTTGTGATTAAAAGTGACGAAATTCCAGCAAATCAGCACGTGAAGTGTTTTACACCAATGTATCACCATAAACTGATACAATTTCGACCTGCTCAAGTGTTTACACTAGTCCCTCAAGCATTAAATCGCATTGAATTTAATATTTGTGCAGTAGAATGTGGAGGAGAGTCACAAAAGGTGATTCTTGTTAATCTCGTGGATATTGAGACACACGAACTTGTTGGTGCGTGGAGCATTCATGTGACACTTGCGCTTCCAGTCATTACAAAGACATACGAATTGAACTTACCACTTGGTCGAGCTGTTCAAAAAAAGATTTCGTACTTAAATCCTTGGGATCAACCACAGACAATTCGACTGCGCTCTAGTGCACCAAATCTGTTAATACCCCGTGAATCTGAGGTACGATTGCCTAGTAATGGTCAAGCTTTCATACGCATTGCTTTTGCTGCTCGAGATCACTTGACTGCAGTTTCTCAAGCCATTTATCTGTTCATTAACGATAAACGTACCGATCAGAACGAAGAGTGTTTGCTGTTTCAGGTTACGTATGTATAACAGCTGTGGGTACATCCTTAATGTTCAAACGCCAGTCTATATAACAGGAGAGCCAGTCAATAATAAATTATCAGCTTCAAGGGAAGAAAAAAACGATTCATTTGAGAAAAATATCAATAGTTTAACTTAGATCAATGATGATTTCTTGAAATTAAAAGCCGGAAAAAGTCTCATTCTAGTAAATCAAGCTGATAAGAAACCTGGAAGCCATCGTCAATGAGCCGGATTCCTATAAATCATTTACATAAGTCTGATTCTGAGATATGTGATGTACGGAGAGTATAGAGGGAAGAAAAGAATCACCATCAAGATGAATCTTCGCTCATTTTCCGATCAGCTACCATACACACAGATTCGTTATGCGCAAAACATTCTTGCTCGTGGCTTTCGTTGTTTTTGCAGCTATAGCCGCTGAGATATCGGCCGAGACCAAAGATTCAAAGAGAAATGTTGGCTCCGAGCTCAAGATTGATAGTCAACGTTACCTCAAGATCAAGCCGACCGCTGATATCGGAAATGAAGAAAGGGGAGCTGTCGATAAAATTTTTGGAGCTCTAACCGAATTCTACAAGGACTTTGTAGCACTCATTAAGTCCAGGGCTATGCGACAGGCGCAGCGAATAATGGCAATCGTGAATGGAAACAGCAAGAAATCTGCTTAGTGAGACTAGTTAGAGTTGGTTTAATAGATTTTGATGAATATCACGTTTCTTTAGCCGAAAATTGAATATGAATCCAGTTGATGTAAAGAAGCGATTTTCCATTAATAACTAAGTCAGCTAAAAAATCAAACTGTCCGTGATTACCTACACTTTTCGACCAAAATGCTAGTGATGGTCATGATTTGTGCTCTCTTTGCTTCGTGCTTGCGAATGAATGATATGGATGCATAACGAATAGTGGTGGAACTGGACAGCAAGAATGATGCTAATTTGTGTTTTCGACGAAAATTGAATACACACCGTGCTATATACGACCTATTGATCCTAAGAATCTTCTAACCGTTCTTTTTGTAAATTGAGGCAAGCTTATTGCTAAAAAATGCAATTTATAAGCATCATCGTTATCATGCTCGCAATAAACGAGGCAGAGTCTGACAAACCTCTGTAGCTTTGATTCTATCTACATGAGCTATTTCTTGTAGTCGCCGAGGTTGTCATTGGTGCTCTGCTTGCGAACATGCACACCATGCACCCCCCAACCATGTGGGTTTTGTTCGACTGCGATAACGAAAACAACCACGAATCAAGTTTGTATAATGGCCCTTTAACGGTATTGAATGCTACGCCCTCGCTTAAGAGGAGAGATGGAACAAACGGGGACGGCTTTAGTACAGGTCGCACCTCCTCCTTAAATACGGTGACTGTAACCGCCTCTGTAAGAAGATCTGTTGTTATTGCTGATTGTGGTTCTACAACCCACCGTTAATTTACGATACCTTGCTCGCAACTTACGAGCTAGAAGGGGCCAACTTTCTCTACAGAAAGCGCAAGAGTCAGACCGACTCTTTACCGGATCATCATACCGTAATTACGGTTTCAATCTGTCTGAAGTCGCTCGCCATGCTGGTGCGGAGCTTCAACACGCCTATGCGTGCGAACTTTCTGCTCAAACTAAGAGCAAAAAAGCTCTGCAAGCACTATCTCGACCCACCGATAACCACTTACCAGATGTGGTATTCGTGCTTGGGGCAGTTGTGAATAGTGGAACACGTACCCTCCGTTAGAAATGCATTGAGTGGTGAAAGTGCCGCTGAGCTTATAACTCAGATCGCGCACTAAAAGAGAAATACACGATGCCTCACCCATTTATAGGCTTTACAAGACATATTCAGCGAAGCGGACATCTGTTTAAAGCGTCACCTTAAGCTCAATGTGCAAAGTACAAAGATTCTGAGATGACTTCAAGTTCCTACTGTTTACACCCTCTCTTCACTCCATGAGACTGCTATAACAGTAACCGAGATGACTTCAAGTTCCAACTGTTTACACCCTCTCTTCACTCCATGAGACTGCTATAACGGCAACCGAGCAAGAGCGTCTTACTCGTGTTAGGCTGGATGCCTTTCGCTTATGTGAAGCGCGCTCCCTGCATCATCTCAAATGAATTTATAGACCGATGTTGCACTAGGACGATGTGCTTCTACGATGTGGCGCAACTTTGTCGAAGTGAATCTCAACCCCCATGAGTTTCAGACTGAGGGTAACCTTTTCACTTTTTTGGTGCTGATCGCGGCAATAGTGCACCTGCAGACCCACCTAACGCTACAAGTGAAAGCAAGCCATTTCATTTTTTTCGAGTAGTGTCAGCGGAGGTCGATCCTCTCGCGGATACCTCGTGTTCATAGCGTTGCGCACATTGCGCATAACGCTCACTCTCATCGAAATCAGATTACTAGTTTTGTGACGAGGTGTGGCCGGGCTGATTTTATCATGTCGCCCCCCACCAAATCGTTTATGCAAAATGTATGAAGCTTGTAGAGGCATGCACTACATTATTTATAGCAAATTGATGAGTGGGGGCAACTCCCTCCACCACCATGGCCACTCCGCACCAGTGCTTTGGTGATCATCATAATTTCGACTGACCATCTGTTTGTTAGCGGCTAACATATTTAATCCGGCGCCGCGCACCTTGAACAATATGTCTCATAACTTCGCTGCAAAGCGCGGATTATATGATGACGCAATGACAACTGGCAACCCGTGCTGGCGAAACATTATTATTTGCATAGCTTGACTGTGTTCTATTGCCGCTGTCAGCAGCGAGATGAGCCATCTTACTGAGAGGGCTGACAAAGTCTACAAAACGGACATTACCCGTCTTTTAGATAATCGTCAAATATGATCATAGTCATGGCCTGCCAGCTCTCTGCCAAAACAGAAACGCTGGCCATATATGCCGCATTCAAGTAGGGATTGAGCCGTTAGCACATTTCACCAGGAGCAAATATGTGCTTACCCACTTATCCATGCTGAGCCACCAACACATAGCACCCACAAAGCAGTATGTCGTTTCTCTTCCAAGGTAGACCCCCACATGTGTTTCGAATAGAGTTCTGTACATGATATTCTTTTGCGGAGCGCCACTACGTGCTGAGTTCATGTTAACCAATACTGTAGTGCAACAAGCCTTGAGACAAGACATTGTGCTGCATGACTGCAACCGTGCGCTTTGATAAAAAATGACATCTGGGCTCTCAACTTGTGCTTCTACAGCTTTCAGCAGCACAACACATGTTAAGTTGACCCGTACGCTTTACGTATCTTATCAATTCGCGCCGTCATGCAACAATTTATGTGGACGGGTCGGGGCAAAAATGCATTAGCCAACACATCAAGCCGACCCGATTTATACCTAACCTGAATGATATACTCAGCAAAAAAGAATAACCATCTTGAGTTTTAGGTGAAATGCGCAATGACGACGTCGCGGTGAAAACGATGCATGACATGTTCTGTAATGATCTTCAATGGCTTGGAGCCATGCAGGTGAACCCTGAATTCGATGAGACGTTGTGATGAACTTCATAAGCAGGGTAGTACTTCTCAGCAGTATTTTAGCTGCCAAGACTCAAGTACGACCGCGCTTCATGTTCATTGGAAAATATTTGGAGTATAACGCACTCTATTGCGAAGACTGAAGCGTCACAGTTGCGGGGTGTCCATTCTGGACTCGGAAAAGCCAGCGTTGAGAGTGAATGAGGTTTTCTGTCGCAGCCTTAAATACTGACTACTCTGCCGCACCCCAACAGCACATAATATTATAAATAATTGCGAGAGATTATGCCATCTCGACATAGTTTGTCCTATTTTGCCCAAGTAGTTGACCAGGCCAAGCCACTTCATCAAGCTTCTTCAGGGTAGAGTCACTGGTCATTCTACAATGGTCTTCATCCTTGTGAGATTGCCTGCAGACTCTTACTCTGTATGGAGCGACCCGATAGGGATGATGTCGACGAATACGCAATTGTCCATATCGTGTCCATATCGTGACTGGCTTTTTAGAGCGCATACACTCGAGTACCGCTCGCACATGCTCTGTTAAAAAGTTGACTTTCCGTGCTCTGCACTATTATACACAAATATGCTGTTAAAATAGAATTGTGCGTAGCCAGCCTGTGGCCAGACAGCTATCACCTGGCGATTGAATGTTAGTGGTGAGTTTAACAGTCTCGGCAGCATAACCAGCTATTCACAGAGCATCCCGCATGGTATACTCATCGCAGCGAGAGGAGATCGCTGGTCCTCATCAGCGGTTGATGATGAACTTCCAAAAGGTTGAGGCACTGAACATAGCGCAGCCGACCATACTGTTTTTCAGCTGATCCTTTCTCAGTATATGCGAAACACCGTATTTGTGAATGCATCTAGCTTATTTTAAGCACGCACAATTCGCAACTTACCTTTATCCTTTCTAATACCGAAGAGTGAAGAAATTACCATCTCTTACCAATCCGCTTTGTGCTTTGCACGGAAAAAGGCGACTCTCACAACACACTATCCCCGTGGTAAGAGGCATTGCCGTCTTACGAAATTATTTGTCTGGACTTCACAAAGAGCGGGATGATTAAATTAACCCGCAAAAACGTTGGGCTGTAAGTACCACCCCGCTTAATATTATCCCTTCTTTATGTTAGGGTATGGACCACGACCTTCACTAGACAAACAGAACCAAGAGGCCCCAAATGGCTACTGGTATCGGCTATATCTTGCGAGTGGTTCGTCGTCCGGGAGCCCGACTCTTAGCCGAGAGCAAAGGGCGCACACAAAATTCGAATATTTCATCCAATCTCAATGAAACATCGGAGCAGGAGGGCTTGATGCCAGCCACACTCATTTGAAGACCCTTGATGAAGATGGTAATCGCTACTGATTAGACACCTTTGCAGCGATTATCATTGCTAACTCAGATACCGTCCGCTAGTTCCCGCCTATCCTGATGGATAAACAAGGCGCCTTGACCAAAGTCGATACGCCTAACATGGCAGTGAAAACAACGGCGACAGCTATCGCTTTAGATCGTTCTTCTTCTCATATACCTTTCTTACTGAGGTAGTTCACGTTAGTGTCCACTTCCGTGCGCAACCTCCTAGCTTGGAGAACGCAATTTGACGCACTGTGACTCAGCTTGATGCAAGGCCAGATCCACGGCTATCTCAATTTCGTTAATTCAGATGGGGAGATTGCCTTCGCTCTGGTTCTTAAAGGCCAGAACGCTTAACGATTGTGACATTAGTGATGGGTAATGTATGTTCCGTCATTGACATCTGTGGGGTGTGCCTCACCAGTGCATTAAAAAAATTGGTGAGAATTCTGGACGAGCAAATATTGCATATGGGCCATTGGTCAACAGTTGTCTGGTCCATTTGGGACACAAGAACGACATCAGCTTGATGATCTGGTCTTTTAGTTTTGGCTACAAGTAATCAAACATCGCGAGAGCAGCGAGGTACCCGTTTGCAGCAAGCCCCAAAAAAATATTTCGTCGATGGACGGAGTCCGAGACTAGTGCAATGAAAAGGCTAGCGCATCCTTTTTGGGCAACGGCTACTGCGCGATCGCCAGGTGGGGTGATTTTGTTTGGTCGGGCTCGAGCATTCTTTGGGCCCGTCCTAATTGCAGAAAGTGGAAAAAAACCGGTGCAGTGGTTACTCGTGAGA